CAGTTACTGCCAACTCAGCTGTTATTCATTGAGTGAGAGGCAGTCGAGTTTTTCATAGTCTGTGACAGTCAAGATTAGTCATTGATATTAACCTCACAAATGTCGTCAAGCACAATATGAAATGTTGGTACACACATACTACCCGGATGTAGCATCAGATGACAATCCATGAACGTCTGAGAATATGAATCCTTCACTTTTCCACAAGATCTATCTCCGGCAAGACAGAACAGTCATCATCACTGTTGTATAGGTACCAAGTCAACCATCACAGAAGTATTTTGTTCTGAAGAATAAGGGGATAAGAACACCACACAAGAATCTGTTCATTCTAAAGTTGAACGCACACTGGGAAAATCAAAACTCCAAAGGGTAATGTACCCAAAAGAAACACACAGAAATAACCTTAAATACAGGAATATTGCTACCTGCCCAGAAAATATTACAATGAGTCAAACTGATTTGGACGAGTCCCATATGTGACCCTGATACAGGCCATGCTACTTCACAGAATTCACTTATTTGAAAGTCTTACAGAAACATCAGGGGATTCTTATCCTAAGACCTGTCTGGGTCGGCAGCCAGCTGACCCATTATGGAACATTCTTTCTGATGTTTCTTAAAGTTCTGAGGGTACTTGTAGATTTTCCCACAAACACATGTGTAGGTTATGTTCTCGTGTAGCGCCTCCTTGTGAACCTTCTTGCTCCAGGGGTTGGTGAAGGTTTTGCCACACTCTTCACATTGCCACATACGCTTGGCATACAAGGTTTCAGGCTTGGTGCATAAGGCTTCCGGTTTGCCATACAGGCCTTCAGGATTGCTAAAAAGCCCTTCAGGTTTACCCATGGACAACATGAAAGGATTGAACACATTTTCAGGAATTGTGGGTCTATGCATTTCAGTGGCATCTGGACGTTTAGGCTGATTAGGGTAGCCAGAGCCGACTTGATTTGAGTCCTTTCCAACATCTGAAATAACAAGAGTGAAATTTTGGAAGGAGGAAAAATGTTTTCACATATTCTGTATAATCCTTGATGCCTCAGACCCTGAAAGTTAATGTCTGTAACACAAAATAGGCAACACAATTCCGCTTTTTGCCAAGATGTATCAAACTTTAAGTTGATGATGCGGAGTGCCAAAACTGAAAGAACTGTATGTTCAGGTTTACCCAGTGACTGGATCCTAACAGCATAAATATGATCTTGTATGTCACCAAAGATGTGTTATTCTCTGCCCAAAATGCATGCACAGATGATTATACACAAAATAGGCAACAAAATTCCGCTTTTTGCCAAGATGTGTCAAACTTTGATGATGCGGAATGCCAAAACTGAAACAACTGTATGTTCAGGTTTACCCAGTGACTGGATCCTAACAGCATAAATATGATCTTGTATGTCACCAAAGATGTGTTATTCTCTGCCCAAAATGCATGCACAGATGATTATACACAAAATAGGCAACAAAATTCCGCTTTTTGCCAAGATGTGTCAAACTTTGATGATGCGGAATGCCAAAACTGAAACAACTGTATGTTCAGGTTTACCCAGTGACTGGATCCTAACAGCATAAATATGATCTTGTATGTCATCAAAGATGAGTCATTCTCTGCCACAAATGCATGCACAGATGATTATTCTGATACAGTAAACTACGGTTATAACGAACTCAAGGGAACAACCAATGTTAGTTTGTTATATCCGTTGTTCGTTATACGCATTTCGACCGTCAGACATCTTGGATCAAGTCATGTGACCACATCATGTTACTCGATAATAAGTTTGCACTGTCCATGTACTATGTTTCTTTATCATACAGAACATTAATAAGGCGAGTTCGCTAAATCTGTTATTTGGTTATAAGCGTGTTCGTAATATCCATCAATTTTATATGATAAAATATATAGCAAATGGCCGGGACAGAACAAACATTTCGTTGTATCCGTCAGTTTGTTATAAGTGTGTTCGTTATAAACATAGTTTTCTGTATGTTTAAGGTCATTGAGAGAAATCTTTTGTAAAGATTGGTTACACTCATGAGTGAGTGAGTGAGTTTTTACGCCGCTTTTAGTTTTAGCAATATTCCAGCAACATCACGGCAGGGGGACACATGAAATGGGCTTCACACATTGTACCCATGTCGGGAATCAAACCCGGGTCTTCGGCGTGACAAGCGAACGCTTTAACCACTAGGCTACCCGACCACCTCGTTACACTCATTACATAGACCATGTCAAAACTTTACTCCAGACTGACACCAAAACATTCAGACATGCCACTCTTTCAACGAGTAAGTATGGTTTTACGCCATCTTCAGCAATACCCCAGCAATATCACAGCAAGGGACACCAGAAATGGCTTGACACAAATTAATCATGTTGGGAATTTAATCCAGGCATTCAGCGTGACACACATTACCCCACTGCGCTCAATCTTTCAATGATTGTGTACAGACTTTGTTGATTCTCAAGATCAAGAATTGTTGAATCTCCTTCAAAGGCAGCAAGCAGTTATTCCATGAAAAACTAAGACTATTTTGAGATCACTATTGTTTTTAATACCCAATCTGCATGTGGTCAATGGCTGATGACATTATCAATCAGGAGATACAGCAATATGTACACATGATAAGAAACATTGGTCAAACAGCACAATTCTGCAGGCAAAACAAGTACAATCACGTTGTTTTCATACACAAAATGAAACTGCAAATGATGATATAAGTAAATGCATTCCATATACAGTGGAACAGCCAGCTGTTATTATGTCAAGTGTGTTCTATACCGTACACAGTTGCCTGCACACTGCACTCCTCATTATTCCAGGGATATTATGGCAGCCTGTAAATTAATGCATCTGGACCAGGCAAACCAGTGGTGGATATCATGAGCAACATTCCACGGCAATGGGATACAATAACACCAAATCCACCAAGCCACTGAGCCAGACTACCCAGTCCACAGTAACTCAGCCGGAGTCCCCAGAGTCACCCATGTGGGGAATTGAATCCGGGTCTTCGGCATGACGAGCGAACACTTTAACCTACCCGACCGCCCTCCTCCTCTTACAACATGCACAGGTTGATTCGAACCTGGATTCCCCATGGGGACCTCAGTTTAGTTTACGAGAAAATACACACGGTAATCTTAATCCCTGCATATAAAACAATGCCTTTGAGATCAGGAAATACATTTTAAATGGTAAAATCATCATGTCTAGTGGTGTTTTATATCAAATTTCATACTTTTATTGACCAAGTTTGTCATGCCTGTTTATTCACCTGAAGTCGTTGAAGGGATACGATAACACTCATCAATTATTTAGACCCCAAAGGTAGCCTTGTTTGTTTTTTAAAATGTCCGGACAGAAAAATTTAAATGTCCAGTAAGCAATATTTTAAATCGGACATTTGAGATTCCCAATCGGACATGTCTGGCGCATATGACTGTTTCCGGACCCCTGGGGTCCTGCCTAATCAGGAATAGGGAGACAATGGTCAATACTGTGAGCACCACTGCTGCCATATGATGACACACAATGCTCATCAGTTGACCTTATACATGAACAGAGGGGGCACGGGTGGCCCAGTCGTCTAAGGCGCCGCGATTCGCTGTGCAGAGTTGCGTCCCTGGACACGCCAGAAACCTATGATTGTGGGTTCGAATCCCGGTTTGCCCCGATTATGTTTCTAGGTTTGTCAGCACCATACTCGTGCTCGTGGGTTTCACCGAAGTGGTAAACGTCTGAGACCTGCATCACTTCGGGCTTTCCTCCCACATTAAGCTGACACGCTGTGATATAACTGGAATACTGTTAAAAGCGGTGTTAAACCAAACTCACTCACTTATACATCTACAGCCTACCCTGTGCAGCCATCTGATCCCTATTCTTGACCCCCTTTGTGACATCAGGGGCTGACCATGTGATACTCTGGGCAAGGGGGGATTGGGAGCCTGGGAATTTTTCGAACAAAAGAAATTGTCCTTGAGAATTCTTTTAAATATATTCATTAAACTTCAGACTTGAACAAAAGAGAAATTTCCTGCCAAAAAAACTTACATTGTTGCAAGGTGCTTTTCTTTTTAAAAATTCAGGCTCCTGGTCTTAAAATAAAAATATCTGGTTTTGTTGCTGTAGTTGACAAAATATCTACTGGGGGTATTCTTGTTATGAAATCCCAGAATATCAAATGGTCGGTCCCTTATAGGGTTCTACAAATATTTTTGTCTTGGGTTCCCACTGAGAGCGTGAGTGAGTGAGTGAATGAGTTGGGTTTAACGCCGCTTTTAACATTATCCCAGTTATATCACGGTGTGTCAGGAAAGCACGAAGTGATACAGATCCTAGAAACATAATCGGGGCAAACCGGGATTCGAACCCACAATCATAGGTTTCTGGCATGCCCAAGGGACGCAACTCTGCACATCGAATCGTGGCGCCTTTGACAACTGGGGCACCCATGCCCCCAACACTGAGAGCTTAGCAGTAGAACCATCCTTTATAAGCTTCCCTAGTTATCATACAAACATATGCAAAGCTAATTCAAAGGTCAATTCAATGTACAATCCATTAACCCTTCCATTAACCGCTATTATGCAAACAATGAACAGCTCAGTGAGGTTGTTAAACTGAATAATTCTTTTTGCATCTTTGACGAATCACAACAATTATGTCTTGCCAATGCCATCTATCCAGGATGGTGTTAAAGAACTACTGATTATGTGACCATCAACCCATACTGAGGGTGAATACCAACACAACTGCGATGGACTGCCTCTGTGGTCTAGTGGTAGAGCGTCCACCCAGAGAATGGAAGGCCCAGGTTCAAGCCCCTGCCATGTCATAGCAAAAGACGTCAAAAATGGTACTTGCTGTTACCCTGTCTGACGCTTGGCATTAAGGGGCTAAAACAAGGACTGGTTGGCCCTGAGTCAGTATACTGTGTCTGGGTGGAGTATTCATGTTAAACTGCGGCATGGTATCTCAGTGAGCTAGGACTATAAATCGGCACCAGTCCGGACTAGTACAAGCAGCCACACACACGTACATGCATGTCACTATATGAGTGCAATAATCTTAGACACGACGTTAAACCCCATTTCACCTCACCTCACAACTGCAATGACTTGTCAGTTGCCAGTGGATTGCATCCTCCTCCCAAAAGCCATCTTGGCATTACTTGTCTCACATACTTGAACTTTAACTAACAATTGTCAAAGCACTAAAACGCCATTACAGCTACACTTGGAAGCATCTACCTAGATTTCACTTACACAGATATTAGTGCTATGTGTGAGTGAGTGAATATGGTTTTATGTCTCTTTAAGCAATAATCCAGCAATATCACGGCAGGGGACACCAGAAACGGGCTTCACACATTGTACCCATATCAGTTTTGAACCCGGGTCTTCGGCGTGACGAGCGAACGCTTTAACCACTAGGCTACCCGACCGTCCCATAGTGAAACAGCGATCTCAGACTTCAACATGGAAATAAAACTGTACATCACTTTATGCAAGGAGACCCTTATGAATATTTACTTTAGAATGTAGCTAAAATTAACATGGGTTCTCCAGAGGCCTTCACCGAAAGCATGTTCTATCATTGCTAAACATTCCAAAGCCTTGAACAATTAACGCACAACAGTGGCACTTTTGCTGTGATTCTTCATTCAGTCATGTACTTATTTCACCAGACAGATGTAATAGAACATAAAAGGCATCTATTTAGATGCAATGTCAACATTAGAAACACATACGAACCATTTGAAATCATAATCACTTGTATCAAATTTGAGTACAAAGTTAACAATAAGAAAAACAAATAGCTGTCCACTTTGGAAACATTGAGAAGTCAGAGCTCTGCTGAAAGGCCTTAAAAGCTTCCTGAGGTAGCACACATCTGGATATACACAAGACAACCTTTCTTGTGCGTAGTCAAGTTGTGAGGATATCGGAAGACCTTCCCACAAACACAAGTGTATGTGACATTTTGATGCATGGCTTCTTTGTGAATCTTCTTGTTCCAGGGATTGGTGAAGGTCTTGCCACAGTCTTCACACTGATACTTCTTTAAGGAAGTACCAGGACCTCCTCCAGGACCTCCTAAAGGTAGTCCAGAAGGTCCTCCTGCTCTTCCCAAGGGAAGCAGTGGAATATCGCCCCTGATCAACGAGTTCACATACATACTGGAGCCAGTAGCATGACTCCTGGGGGTATAGCCAGTCTCACCTTGGTTCATCATTACCAAGCCTGAAACCAACAAAAGGAAGAAAGATTTGGGAACTGTCAAATATAACGTCCATTGCCATTTTACAACACAGTAACATGTTTGTACTTGAACCAGATCAACTATATGTACCACGGTGACACAGACATTGCACATGGTCCTGTCTGATTCATTTGTCAAAAGGTCTAAGTCCACAACAAACAGCGAGGGATCCATCTCTGTAGTAAAACATATTCAGCTGTCCTAAACCCCAAACTTCCCATGATTGTTAGCCATATAATGGCAACACATGAAATAATGCCCCTCCGTGTAAATAACCACATTTAATACTATACTTCTTACATTGAGACAATGTTCTTTCCAAAAAGATTTTCTTTACGGAAATAAGTCAATCTTGAAAACTATTATCACAATAGTGGCAGACAAAACAACACATCCCTCTCTACAACTTCCATGTAACAAATGTCCTTCAATGGTCAAGCACAGAAACCATGCATAATCCACTCAATGTGTTCACTCCCTGAGAAGGAGCCAAAGTCTGTAATGAAGTGTGTTTAATGACGCACTCAGCAATATTCCAGCCATATGGCGGCGGTCTGTAAAGAATCAAGTGGGACCAGACAATCAAGATCCACATTGTCAGGGTACAAAGAACACAATATCAATCAAGTCAATCGAGTTTGACCACCTCACCCATTTGGTCTCTTTTACAACCAGCGTACGTTCCTGGGGACCTATTCTAACCCTGAATCTCCACTGAGTACTGCAGTCTAGTGTGTACAAAGCTGAAATGTTTTAATGACTTTATGACGTGAACCAATAACAGTAACCACAAGAGTCCTCCTTGACAATCTATTGCGAGCAGCTACATAACAGAGTTACCTCCCTTTGACCAAAACAACACGAAGATCATCATTTCTTCCCATTCTGACAGAACTGTTGGGATTATTTGACAGTGTATCACACACTTTGTTCCCAAAAAACTCAACACTGGAACCAAAATTAGCGGGAAGCATTGTTACAAATGTGAATTTGTCTTGTAACGAATAGCAAAATTCAATTCTAAAATCCTGACATAGGCACAGCTGTGTACCTTATCCATTTTGGTTTTGACTGTCCCCCATCAGCTTGAAAACATGACAATCCTTCTTGTGCCTTCTAATGTTCCTCGGATATCTGTAGACCTTTCCACACACACAAGGGTAGGTGACATTCATGTGGACAGCCTCAATGTGATGTCGCTTTGTTTCCTGTGTGGTGAAAGACTTGCCACATTGCTCACACTGCCATAAACGTCGCCTGTGGGGTGGAACGTTCCCATCAAAGATGACTGGGAAGAGCTGAGTGCTATCAGACATTGAAGAAAGTTTGGTAATCAGATCCCCGGCACTGTAATGACCAGCGGAAGCTATTCCATAATCTGAAAACAAGAAAATGTACTTCGTTGGTAAGGTTTTCAAATTAAGCCTACCTATCCTTTGGAAAATACACACAGTAAACTACGGTTAGAAATAACGAACTCGAAGGGACCACTAGTTTGTTAGAACCGTAGTTGGTTATAAGCATATACAGCATATATGCAGCACATTTCAGCGCTGCCGTTGTTTTGGCAAAAATTCTGATACGTCGCCATACGTTACTGCTATGTGACAGGGCCATAAGCGGCTATTAGAATTAATAAAAACATCAATCAGTCATTTGACCCAGCAGTATAGTTTCTGCAAGTATTACCTCAGATTCAAGTTTTGCAAACTGACCCAGAACAATAGTTTCAACATCGAAATCTTTAGGAAATTGACGGAGGTTTTGCTGGATTTCAGATGCTGATGAACAGGCACTGCTGAGTTCTCTGAAGGAGTGAGTGAGTGAGTGAGCATGGTTTTATGCCGCTTTTAGCAATATTCCAGCAATATCACGGCGGGGGACACCAGAAATGGGCTTCACACATTGTACCCATGTCAGGAATCGAACCCGTATCTTCAGCATGACGAGCGAATGCTTTAACCACTAGGCTACCCGACCGCCCCTCAGTTTCAACAGAAAGGAAGACAGGTAGCTCAACAGCTTACCTCACGGCACAGATGACAGAAGGCTCCGACAGTGTTCATCTGACAGCAAGGGAAGATTGGTAGCGGACTCCTTCTCAATTCATGTCACAGTCAATAATAGGAAAGGACAGCTGTCGCAAGCAAGGGAAGATCTGTAGCTGTCCATCGTACAGTTCATGGCACAGCTTACAGGAGGTGGTGACACAGTGTTCATTAGCAAGGGAAGATGGGTAGCTGTCTATCGTACAGTTCATGTCACAGCTTACAGGAGGTGGTGACAGTGTTCATTAGCAAGGGAAGATGGGTAGCTGTCTATGGTACAGTTCATGGCACAGCTTACAGGAGGTGGTGACACAGTGTTCATTAGCAAGGGAAGATCTGTAGCTGTCTATCATACAGTTCATGGCACAGCTTACAGGAGGTGGTGATACAGTGTTCATTAGCGAGGGAAGATGGGAAGCTGTCTATCGTACAGTTCATGGCACAGCTTACAGGAGGTGGTGACAGTGTTCATTAGCAAGGGAAGATTGGAAGCTGTATATCGTACAGTTCATGGCACAGCTTACAGGAGGTGGTGACACAGTGTTCATTAGCAAGGGAAGATCTGTAGCTGTCTATCATACAGTTCATGGCACAGCTTACAGGAGGTGGTGACACAGTGTTCATTAGCAAGGGAAGATGGGTAGCTGTCTATCGTACAGTTCATGGCACAGCTTACAGGAGGTGGTGACACAGTGTTCATTAGCAAGGGAAGATTGGAAGCTGTATATCGTACAGTTCATGGCACAGCTTCCAGGAGGTGGTGACAGTGTTCATTAGCAAGGGAAGATGGGTAGCTGTCTATCGTACAGTTCATGGCACAGCTTACAGGAGGTGGTGACACAGTGTTCATTAGCAAGGGAAGATGGGTAGCTGACTATCTTACAGTTCATGGCACAGCTTACAGGAGGTGGTGACACAGTGTTCATTAGCAAGGGAAGATGGGTAGCTGTCTATCATACAGTTCATGGCACAGCTTACAGGAGGTGGTGACACAGTGTTCATTAGCAAGGGAAGATGGGTAGCTGACTATGGTACAGTTCATGGCACAGCTTACAGGAGGTGGTGACAGTGTTCATTAGCAAGGGAAGATGGGAAGCTGTCTATCATACAGTTCATGGCACAGCTTACAGGAGGTGGTGACACAGTGTTCATTAGCATGGGAAGATGGGAAGCTGTCCCATAGTTCATAGCACAGCCTTTAAAAGGAACAGATCACTGTCTCAGCTGTTCATCAGTGTTCATCAACGAATCAGGAGACATCGGCCACACCGGCTGTTTGAAAGGCACTGTACTAGAGAATGTGGCATGAAGGTAAATATTTTCACAGAAAAGACATTCATCCACAACACGGACGTAGATCCCATAATGTGCACTCTCTGATATCATAATGTCCGCAAGACACAACTGTCAGTGATCTCCCAGTTAACTTCACAGAAGACACAGCACATAGGTAATAAGCAATCTTGATACAAGCAACAATATTTACAACAGTACATATCTCTGTTGGAAACAGTCCATCTTGGAACATTATGGGCTTCTTGTCAGCATGGTGACTCTGATAAAGAAAACTGATATCTGATTCACAACAGTAGTGGTTAAAAAAACATATACCGTATTTCCTCTATTAGACGCCCAGGCTTCTATTTATTTCGGACAAGCCTTTGATCCGGCGTCAATGAGAGGCCCTGCTTCTATTAATACCCCCATTTCACTATGACCACGAATGTCCCGTTGTATCAATTGATCGACCCGGCATCTATTAGAGGCCAGGCTTCTATTTTTTGCACTGAACAATTGACTCGGCTTCTATTAGAGGCCGGGGTCTATTAGAGGCCCGGTGTCTAATAGAGGAAATACGGTAAACAAAGGCCAGGATACCAACCACTGATCAATCCAACTTAGGTACATGTTTTTTTTGTGTTTTTCAAAAGAATGCAGGGTTTTCAAAAAAACACACAAAGTCTTGATTACCAGTCACAGATCAAAACATCTACAGAAAACTTAATCTTGGATTTTTAATAGGCTTCATAAACTAGGCAAGGAAATTTTAAGTTATACTAAGGCAAATGTTGATTGAATTCAAATGAATGCCTTAGTATAACTTAACATTTCCTAGCCTAGCAGTGTGTCATAAAAACATAAATAAACTCTTGGCTAAACAAGCTAAGATAAACTGCATCAGCATTTAATTTATAAAAATGAAGTATTTCCATAAGCACATAAATAAATACTTGGCTAGTCAAAACTGATTAGTTTGACTAAGTTTCCTTTTCATCTTTTGAAACAATTAGAATGTTTTAAAATCAAACAAGCCTTGGCTACAAGCCAGAGGTCAAATCAAATGAGGGAAATCAGCCGGCATCTGTTCAAAAGGAATATTTGGCTTCAAATCACTTGTTAGCTGAGGTAAATGTTCTCTTCATTGAGTTAGAGCATGTTGTGGGTTCAATCTGACAGAACATCAAATAAATGCAGTGTTTACAAAGAACATAAACATGTATGTGGCGTCTGGCCACTGATCAGATACCGTGGGCAAATGTTCCAGGTATCAGGTACATGCAAATGCAGAACTTGCAGTCATCGATCAACTCGGGCAAATGTTCGATGTATCTTACATACAACAATGAGTATATGTTAAAGAAACCTGTGTTAATGAACCAAAGATAGGATCATCTTTGCTCTATGATCGTCTAGAGGAACAGTAGCCGGATTCATATAAACACACCATTTCCTAGAAACAAGGAAATGTACAATGAGCTACGAACCACACATCCAAGCAACTCCAGTATATGTTCTCAGTACAAGATCATATTCAGTGTGTGCATATCAACTCGAGGCTTCCAGCCTTGCTAATTTTAACTAGCCTAACTGTTTCACAATGCTGCAATGTTTACGATGAGCCCGGAAGTTCTTGGGATATTTGTAAACCTTCCCGCACACGCAGGTACAGGTCATGTTCAAGTGCACAGCTTCAACATGCTCCTTTTTATTGCAAGAGTTTGTGAATGTTTTCCCGCACTCGTCACACTGGTACCTGCGTCTGGAAGGAAAGCATTCCTCCACAGTGCCACCAGACCCTGCAGGAACACTAAAGCTGGACAAGATTTGATCTATTTCTGGCAAAGATGTGGCTAATCTAGCATCGTGACGAACAGCTGGGGAAAAGCCACCAACATCTTGTGGGCCCATTCCAAAACCTGCAATCAAGAAAATGCAGAAAATAATATAATCTCCATACATGTTTGCTGGCTTGTATTGGAATGTGCTGTGTGAAATGTGTTGGTTCTTGTTGAAAATGCCATTTTCTTTCATCCAAAAGTAGGACTTCCCCGTAGGGTAGAAAATGAACGACATTTTCCAACACATGAATATCTACTATAACTGAGCAGCTGAAATTCTAAGGGACCGTTTTCCTTATGGTCTCGATCTGGAGGTATAACAAATATCTAGCCCCTAGGATGGAAAAAAAGTAGTTTTCACCGACACTAATGTCCTAGTTATTGTGCAGATGAAAAATGTGATAATACCAATAATTACGTGTTCTGGGATTGACAATAGCTTTTCACAGTTACCGTATGTTGTCATTGTTACCTCTGATGACTTTTCCATAGAAACATGTTGTCTTGACAACACTGCATCCAGAGGACTAGAATATCCATTGTCACACATTAGAAATTGCAGTAACTCCGATGACTGGAGACCTGTAGAACCCTCAATTCACAAACATACTGTCACAATGAACCCATGAGGCAAGTACATCCTTCCTCACAAAAGATTAACCCTTCTAAATATACAGTAAACTACGGTTATAACCATCTCATAGGGGCCACTAATTTTAGTTCTTTATAACCGTAGTTCGTTATAAGCATTTCAAGTGAATTTCCTCATTCTAGTTGTCACATTTTGAAGAGAGAAATATCCGCTTTAAAGGCTATAGCCTAATCACTGTTTTCCGATTGTTAATTAAGGGTGTAAATTGAGAACAAGGTGTAAATACTTCATCCTCACTGGTGACGCTCAGAGATTAACAGTTTGTCATACGCATAAACATTATCGTTGACAGTACACACAGGACCACAAAGTGATTTCGCTATATCCGTTATTTCGTTAAAGGCGTGTTTATATATCCACCAGTTTCATATGATGAAAAGTACAGCAAATGGATGGGACCGTCAAAACCGTTCGTTATATCTGCCAGTTCGTTACAAACGTTTTTGAAGGAATTCTTAAAACATTGGCACAGATGTAACCAATCTGAATTGTTTTCTCTGGTGCATGAGCATCAAGATTGTTCTCACGCACTCAAGATGGAGAACCTAATCAGTCAATGCCTGAGAAGACTCACTTATATCCCAAAAAATCAGATCAACATTTTTTAATGGTCTTTTTGTTGACACCAAATCTTTAAGATATTTCAGTATCAAGGTGCATGTCTTGTTTAATCACTGTCCATGAAAGCTGCCAAATTTGAACACGTCACAATCTTTCTTGTGTCTCCGTAGGTTTCGAGGATATCTGTACACCTTCCCACAAACACAAGAGTGAGTGACATTTTCATGCTGAGCCTCTATGTGATGTTTTTTGGTCTGAGGAGATGTGAAAGTCTTCCCACATTGTTCACATTGCCACCTTGATCGGGAGCCATAATACCCCTCCACCACCCCCTCCACAGTGGGCTGGACATATCCACCTTCAAAACCAGGCCCACTGGTACCCAGATCAAGAATTTCTGAAACAGTTAGAAAATGGATGGTGTTACTGAAAGACCTGGTGATTTGAGCTTACAATAGGTTCATACAGCCTTTCATACACATAACACTTCCAAGGTTGTACTCACAACTAAACTTAGTCTGCGTTGCAGTCCCTGAACCATATTATTTTCTCTTCCACCTTGCCCTTACTGCAATGCTTGTAGCCCTAAATGAAGCAAGTCAACATTTTCCACAACTCACTTGGCCTCCTTTTCAATTAAAATAAAACTGTTTGTTAAGATCAGAATTACCGTATTCAACGTAAAAAGCTTCCAGGCCGCCCTCAAAATAAGAAATAGGGGGCTCTTCTTATTGGAATGCTATTTTGGTGGGGAAAAAAACAGAGTTGAAAGATCGTTAATTTGAGGTTTATGCTGACAGCCTGAAATGTTTACATACGACAGATATATTTTTCCAGAATTTAATTGCCCATAATTAAGGGTGCATATAACACATGAGTGTGTATTATACACGAATAAATACGTCTTGTGTACATTGATCAATCGGAAGGGGTGCTAATTGGGATTGTTCACTAGCCAATATATTAGGAAATATTGCCGTGGGGGCTTATTAGAGCGGGGCGCTTATTATGTCGAATACGGCAAATGTTATCAGAGTCAAAGTGTTAGTCTGAACTATAATGGTGAGGTGAAATTGGGTTTTACGTCGCGTCCAAGATTATTGCACTTATGTAGTGGCATCTGAACTATAATGTTCACTGCATGTTGTGTGGTGGTACATTGCCGAGTCGCTTCCCTTGACCCAATATAACAGTCAAGTTATATCCTATTACAAATGTATAGGAAGGGGTATTTATTTAAAACAATGTCTGTTGTAGTTCAGTTCCTCACATGATGGCATATAATGTAGAATGTAGGAGTACATAGTTGCTTCCCCTCAGCCACTGTACAGACTTCTTCGGATATTGGCTCAGCATATTTTTCCACACTCATTATACCTAGGGTAGCAATATTGCAGTAGTTTTACTGTTTTCAGTGCTATCTATTGGGGACAAAGTCACAAGTCTGTTAATCCAAGACTAGTAATATTTTAGATGGACTCGTTGTTGTATCCCCAAATCTAATTACTATACGAGCCCCCTCGTCCTAAATGAGCTGCTGACTAGTTGGATGTGACCAATGGTGTCTTCCCTGTCTATATGTTGTCACGTCACGCCACAGGTAGCTCACAGAGTGAGTGAGTATGGTTTTACGCCGCTTTTAGCAATATTCCAGCAATATCACGGCGGGGGACACCAGAAATGGGCTTCATGCATTGTACCCATGTCGGGAATCGAAACCCGGGTCTTCGGCGTGACAAGCGAATGCTTTAACCATTAGGCTACCCGACCGCCCCTGGTAGCTCACAGAACTTGGAAGATTTCAGACATAGGTATGTACCTTTGATTTGGAGAAGTCAGGTACACTTATAAAATAGAGCAAGGGTTTGATGGCCCAATCCTTGGCTGTTTTCTCTGTAATGTGATCATCACGTGAAAGATACCATCGTGAATGTCAACTGAGATGACCGGCAGCATAAAGGCAAGGCACCAAGTGCACACCAATCATCTACAATCTGTCTCACATGTAGAAATGGATAGAAGTGTGTGTGAAGATTGAGATACATGTATCTTTATTTTCCACTGATTTCTGTGTTGTCCATTTCACAATAATCAGATATAATGAAATATTAACTAAGTCATTCAGATGATAAGAAATCCCTTAGATCCTATCAGTAAACGCATCATATTTATTTCAATGTAAAAAGTTGAAACAGGCTTATAAGGCGTTATCTCCCTTTGGCTGACTCCAGTGGTGAAGTCTGCCATGACAGTTATTATACCATTTACCAAACAACTGATCAACATCGACAGTTCCTTCCATTGATACTAATTAGAGAGAAAGACAAATGCTGAAAATTAAAGAAGCATGTTTATTTGTTTCTCTTTTAAAAAAATATATACAGATAAAAGTAGTTTTATGAATTGGTAATCAAATATCAGCCAACATCCAAAGACAGGATTGAATGGAAGTGATGTAAATACATCAAAGGTACTTTTCATAATATCAAATAAAAACTTGACAACAACATTACAAATCCAATGAAATTCAACATCCTTGGCTTTCCCAGCTATTATGCACAAACAGTTAACCCCATTCATCCAGACGCTAGTTTCCAGTAAGCACATACAGGGAAAACCTGTTCATCCAGATGCTAGTTTCCAGTATGCACATACAGGGAAAACCTGTTCATCCAGACGCTAGTTTCCAGTATGCACATACAGGGAAAACCTGTTCATCCAGACGCTAGTTTCCAGTATGCACATACAGGGAAAACCTGTTCATCCAGACACTACTTTCCAGTATGCTCTACAGGGAAAGCCTGTTCATCCAGACACTACTTTCCAGTAGAGTCATCCATATCAACATATGTTCAAATCATGGAAATCTCCCACACCTTTGAGAAAAAAAAAGAAAAAGAAAAATCCAACTCAAGTCTAGATTGCCTCAGTCTAAAATAAAGCATTGTTCTATGCTCCATTTGGATAAGATTTATTATTTTGTATATTCTTAAGTAAGTCAACTTTATTTCTGGGATTCTAAAATCATGGGTACAAAGTAACATGCCTTCAATAACATATAGAACTTTCCAACTGTAACCATCAATGAAAAGAATGATTTCCAAACTAAAAAGGTCTGGACTAACAGTCTCGTTGTAAAAAAACAATTAATAAAAAACGATTAATAACTGAATACTTAGGTGTGACAATGACAATGTAACATCTGAGCAACCCCCAGACTTATCAGTGAGTTTACATAAAAACATGTGGCTAAGCTGACACAGATTCCTTGAAGTGCATTAGTCAATACTTATGGACCCGTGAAACTTCCGGGGTAGAATAGGTCTTCAGCAACCCATGCTTGCCGTAAAAGGTGACTATGCTTGTTGTAAAAGGCGACTAACGGGATCAGGTGGTCAGGCTCGCTGACTTGGTTGATGCATGTCATCAATCCCAATTGCGTGGATCGATGCTCATGATATCAATCACTGGATTGTCTGGTCCAGACTCCATTATTTACAGACCGCAGTCATATAGCTGGAATATTGCTGAGTGCGGCGTTAAACAACAAACCAACAACAACAACAATACTTATGATCCAAAATAACTGTGGTGAAACCCACGAGCACGGGTATAATGTTGGCAAACCCTAGAAACATAACCAGGTGAAAACAGAACATTGAGCTTTTTAAATCACACAGAGACACACACAGAGACACACACACACAAATTCAAGAGACTCCATACTCCATAGCAATAAAGGGCAGACAAAAAGCTGGCTAAAACAACTGAATCAGTGAGAATATATTCAAAACCAGAAGTGACAGTTCCAGTCAGATTTATAGTCTTGCAAAATGAGTGAGTGAGTTGGGTTTAACGCAGCTAT